CCCAAGAGATAGCAATTACTTGAAGCTGAAGCCAAATTAAAGGAAGCAGAAGATACTCTAAGAGTGAAGTAAGAAGCATTATAAGAAGTGCTTGACATGTTGGCTAAATTAGAAGCAGAATATAATAAAGCTAAATAGGAAAAAGAAGATTTAGAAGCCAAGGTTAATAAATGTAAAATCTAATTGAGTAGAGCAGAGAAATTAATTACAGAATTAGGAGGAGAGAAAGAAAGTTGGAAAAAGAAAGCTGCTGATTTTAGAGTTGATTCTAAAACAATTGTTGGTGATTGTATATTATCATCAGGAATTGTCGCATATTTAGGAGCATTTCCTATTGCTTATAGAGATGATACAATAAAAGCATGGTAAGGTTTATTAGCTAAATTAAATTTGGAATATGATCCAGATTACTCATTATAAAAAATATTATGTGATCCAATCACAATGGGATAATGGACAAATGTATAAAAGTTACCAAATGATTCATTTTCTATTGATAATGCAATTATCTTAAAAAATTCAACAAGATGGCCTTTAATGATAGATCCTTAAACACAAGCCAATACATGGGTTAAGCATATGGAAATGAGACATGGAGAGAATTAATCTTTGGTTATTGTGAGACCTACATAATCTTCTAATGTATTATCTAAGACATTGGAAAGTGCTTTACAATTTGGTTAAAGTGTATTATTAGAGAATGTAGGAGAGAGCATAGATGCTATTTTTGAATCAATTTTACAATAAAAAATTATCAAATAAGGTTCAGCTTATAAATTAAAATTTGGAGATAAGATGGTTGATTATTCAAGAGATTTCAAATTCTATATGACAACTAAATTAGCAAGACCTCATTATCCACCTGAAATTTGTGTCAAAGTGACTATGTTAAATTTCTAAGTCACTTAAGAAGGATTAGAAGATCAAATGTTAAATATTGTAGTAAAAATAGAAGAACCTGCAAAAGATGAATAAAGATAGAGGAACATAAAGGAATTCTTTGAAAATAAGAATAAATAAAAAATGACTGAAGATAATATTTTATAATTATTATAAGAGTCTAAAGGAAATTTATTAGATGATGAAGTATTAATTGACACTCTCTAAAGATCCAAAGCAGAATCAATAACTATATAAGATAAATTGAAGAAATAAGAATAAGATAGAGAATAATTTAATCAGATTCGTAATTTCTATAGAGAAGTTGCAAAGAGAGTTGCAAATTTATATTTTGTTGTTTTAGATCTTTCATTAATCGAACCAACTTATCAATGGTCCTTAGAATTCTATATAATATTATTTGAAAGAGCAATCAGAGAATCTATTTAAGGAAAAGAGAATAGAAGTAAAAATATAATAGATAAATTTTAAATATCTTTATATGAAAGTATTTGTAGATCTCTGTTAGAGAAAGATAAATTAATATTTTCTTTTTTGATGACAATGAAAGTGATGTAAAGTGATGGTAAGATTACTCCTTAAGAGATTCGTTTTACTATGGTAGGAGGAACATACACAGATCCTACATATCATTAACCTTAAGCTGAATGGATTTCTAAGAAGACATGGTGTTTAATAACTGAGGCAGCTGATGTAATGACATGCTTCAAAGGATTACCTGAATCATTTACAAAGAATCTTGATGCTTGGCAAGAGATATATGACAGTTCTGAACCACAAACATAAAAATTACCAGAACCTTGGGCATCATCTTTATCAGCCTTTTAGAAATTAATGGTTTTGAGAATAATTAGGCCAGATAAATTTGCTAATGCAACACAAAATCTTATTATTACAGAAATGGGTAAATAATTCATGGATCCTCCTCCATTTAATCTAGAATATGCTTATAAAGATGCAGATGCATTCACACCTTTGATTTTCATTTTATCACCTGGTGCAGATCCTCGTTTGGAAATATAAGCTTTGGCAGATAAATTTGGATTTAGATAAAACTTTATACCACTCTCATTAGGTTAAGGATAAGGAGAAATAGCAACAAATGCTATTAAAGGAGCTGTAAAAGATGGTAAATGGGTATTATTATAAAATTGCCATCTTGCTCCATCATTCATGCCTGAATTGGAGAGAATTCATGAATAGGAAATTTGTGCAAAACCAGATGTAAATACAGATTTCAGAATATGGTTAACTTCAATGCCATCTAATGTATTTCCTGTTACTCTTTTGATGAAAGGTATTAAGATGACTTATGAACCACCCAGAGGATTAAAAAATAATATGCTAAGAAACTTTTCATCAATTGATGCTAAAAGTTTTGAATAATGTAAAAAACCTGTAGAATGGAAGAAATTATTCTTTGGATTAAATTTCTTCCATGCTGTTTGTTTAGAAAGACGTAAGTATGGACCTCTTGGATGGAACATTCCTTATGAGTTTACATCTGCTGATCTTGCAATATCTGTATCATAATTAAAGAATTTCCTTGATACATTTGAAGATATTCCTTGGGAAGCTCTTAATTATATGGTTGCTGAAGCTAATTATGGTGGTAGAGTAACAGATCCCAAAGATAGAAGATTAATTGCCATTTTACTCAAATAATTTTATACAACTGATGTGTTATAGATTGATAAACATAAATTAAGTCCAAGTGGAACATATTACATACCTCCTAATGGAATTTTAGAAGATTACAAAGAATACATAAGAAATTTACCTCTAAATGATTAAACTGAAGTATTTGGATTACATGATAATGCAGAAATCTCATCAGCAATTATTGAAACTAATTTCATAACATCAACTATATTATCATTACTACCAAGATCAACTGGTGGTGCTGGAGCATCTGCAGAGGATCTTATAAAGGAAAAATGTAAATAGATTTTATCTAAATTACCAAAAAAATTCAATGTTGAAGAGGCTGCTCGTAAACATCCTGTTTAATATAATCAGAGTATGAATACAGTCTTGTAATAAGAATTAATTAGATTCAATAAATTATTATAAGCAGTTACCTAATCTTTAATTGATTTAGGTAAGGCAATTGATGGTTTAGTTGTTATGAGTGCAGACTTAGAATAAGTCTTTAATAAAGTATTTGATAATCAAGTTCCTGATATTTGGCATAAGGTGGCTTATCCATCACTTAAACCACTAGGATCTTGGATTAATGATTTTATTGAAAGATTGCATTTTATGTAATTATGGATAGATAATGGTGCACCACCAACCTTTTGGGTATCTGGATTCTTTTTCACTTAATCCTTTTTAACTGGTACATTATAGAATTTTGCTAGAAAGGTATATATAGATTACATAATAAGTACTAAATTCCAATAGATACATTGTCTTTTGAATTTATAGTGATCCCTCCTTCATCTTAAGAGTATGATCTCACTAAACCACCTGATGATGGATGCTATATATATGGTTTATTCCTTGATGGAGCTAGATGGGATGAAGAAAATAGATGTCTAAATGAAAGTTTACCTAAAATCCTGTAATATTCAGTACCTTATCTATGGTTATTGCCAAGTGAGGAAAAGAAAGATTGGGAAGCAGATACATCTGTAAAAAAATTATTTAATTTTATTAGGTTTATGAATGTCCAGTTTACAAAACTTCAAGAAGAGCAGGTACATTATCAACTACTGGTCACTCTACCAACTTTGTAATATCTGTATATTTACCTATTTCACCTGATCATCATCCCTACCATTGGGTTAAAAGAGGAGTAGCTATTCTATGCTAGACAGATGATTGAATTAATATTTTGAATAATAATATAAATTAAAACTTAATTATTTATGGAAGAATAAACTTAAGAACGTTTATCTTAATTGAAAGAAATCCTAGCTCTTGATGATGTTCCTAAAATTACTAAGAAGTTAACAAAATTAGGATTTTCTTATTCTGAATTACTATAATAATTGATTGAAACAAATCATAATTAAGGCATTGAAATCTTATAATCATATTCAAACAATTTTACAGAATTCAAAGGGAAATCACTTGTAGCATTAATCTTGTATCTCTCCACTTAAGATTCTAATATAGAAGCTATTTTATAAGCTGATAGATTATTATAATCTAATTAATATGTAGGAAGTTTTATAAAGAATTATGAAAGAGCTATTTAAAATAATAGTCCATTTAGCTCATAAATAATCAATCATATTATCTAAAATAAAACAAATGTCCCTAATTTTAATCTTATCTTTGATAAATTGTTTCAATTATGTAAATAAAAACAATTGAATAACATTAATGAATTTGAAAAACTGATGAATACATAAAAAGATGTAGTCTTAATAATTGATAAACCAATTATAAAGATTTTCCCATTGACTCCTAGAATAAAATCTGATTATTTACCTAAACATCTTTAAATAAAGAAAACATAAAATGCTATATCTAAATAAGAAGAATTAAGATCAATGTAAAAGAAAAAAATAATGACTAAAAAGAAATTAATGAGAGAACTTTATAAAGAATAAAATTAATTGCATAAAATTAAAAAAGAAAAACTCCTTCATCAACTTGATAAATAAAAAGATGGATATAAAAAGTAATAATAATTTTAAATTGATTTAGAGGATTGAGATTATTGGAAGAATAATAAATGGAATTAAAAAAACTTAAAACTATGCAATTAAATATAAAAAGACATAAAAAGAAGTCTTCTAGAAAAGGGGGTAATAAACAATGAAATATTTGTTAATATTATTAATTATGAAAAAATTTCTTTCGGCAATAAAGAATGTCACAGACCCTGAAAAAATGGTAAAGTATGGAGCCTAGAAACTTGAAAACTTTGCTGATTATTTAGATCCTAATAATGAAAAGTCTTCTCAACAAATTCCATTTATGGTAATAGCCATAATTAAAATTTATTCTAGATCACTAGACAAATGAAATATGATCTTATGGATTTAGGATATAATTATGATGATATTAAAAAAATGACACCAACTTACGCCAGTAATCTATTATAAAATCAAATTTAAAAAAAATAGAAGTGATTTATTATATTCTCACATAAAAAAATTACGATTTTTTTATTTTAATAACCTAGGTTCAAAAGAAACTTTTTTTTAAGAACTAGACTAAGTTACTTTTTATACAGATTTATGAGATTTTGATTTATTTGTCTTAAGAATACTTCTTATTGTTTATGTATCTGACCCTGCCTAATTTTTATTCAAAATAACAGAACAATCATCTTACTATTCATGATGGATTGAATTTTATGTTACACTTCTATTCATTTTCAAACATTTTTCTGTTTATTCTTTATCCAAAATCTATTCCTTTAATTCTTGTTCAGTTTTTATTTATTATTCTTAAGTTTTCTATTTTTATTAATCTTAAATCTGAGTAAATGGAATTGCTTTTGTCTCTTACTTTTTTTTTAATGGAATCTCTTGAAAATTAAGAATTATTTCTAAATAATTCATTTCATAAGTTTCTTCAACCATGTCTGAATGACTATGAGGTTTTACTAAAGGAAATTGCTTGTCTGGTTGAAATTTCATAAGTTTATTAATTATTGGATAGTTAAGGTTTCCATCACATCGAGATTATCTTTTAATGCAAACAGCCCCCATTTAATGAAATTATAAAATAATCAAATAAGAATTTAATTCTTATCATTTTATTTTGTGAATAATTCCTTTAGAGAAAAAATAACAGAAAAAACCCATATCAATTTATAAAAGAAATGACTTTTAATTAATTTTCTAAACTCTATATTGAAGGTTATCATAGACTTTATTAGGTATTTTCTAATAAAATTACCATTTATAATTCATTAAATTTTAAAAGTCTCCTTTTTATTAAATTCATAAGGAGGATCAACATTTTATATTAAATAAACAACAACATTAAAAATTCTTTTTAATTAATATTGATAATAAATTCTCATTTATTGTTATATTAACAATTATGAAATGCATAATAAGAATTTTTATTTTCTAGAAAATTGTCTAATTCTTGTATCCAAGTATTTTACAATTAAAGATAGAGATATGAATTTGATTATATAGATATTAAATAATGAAAAATTTAAACAAAAAATTGGATTTTCATTTTGTAAAGATTTTTATTACTCAAAAATCTTACTGAATGTTATTGAATGGTGATTTTATTATTATTTATTGGTTCATTTAATATGAGATATTAATCATAAATGAAATATCTATACAAAAATTAATTAAAAATTTTATAAATTTATTCATGAGCGATCACGATGATAATGATAATGATTAGGAGTTACAAGAAGAAACAACAACAAATGCCCCTAAGTTTGAAGACTATTCTGATGTATAAAAAGTTTAAATTATTTAGATGGATTAAACTTAAATTCCTATATTTGAAAAGAATGCAGGAACAGATTGCTTTAAGAAAGGTGATTATTTTGAAGCTACACGTCATTATGCTAAAGTAAAATTTGAAATTTATTTAAGGCTGTAATGGCATATTAATTTTTCATAAAAGATGGAGTAGTGAATGATCCAGAAGAAATCAAAAAATTGACTTAAGAAATATATGTAAGTAAATTATTGATTTATTTCGTAGCTTCCTTGTAGTCTCAATTTATCCCTATGTTATATTAAATAAAAGGAATATCAAATGGGAAAGGACTTTGCTAATAAATCATTAGAAGTTGATGCTAATAATATAAAGGGTTTATATAGAAGGGGAATTTGTTTTATGAATTTATAAGAAGTATGGAATAATTCAATTAATTAGTTTAAAGCAGCTGGAGAGGATTTTAAAAGAATATTGGAAATTGATCCAAATAATGATGATGCAAAATAAGCTTGGGAATAATTAATAAAAAAGAAAGAGTAGATTAAATAGAAATAAAAAGCAATAAGTGAAAAAATGTTAAATAGTTTGAGTTATGAAGATAAAATTGTTACAAATACAAAAAAAGGAAAAAAAAATTGGTTAAGAGAAAAATATGATTGGTTAAAATAAATATTGTGTGTTAGAAAAAAGGCAAAAAAAAATTGATAACACTTTATTAGTTTTAGATAATAATAAATAATCTTTATTAATTCATATTGTTATTCTAAAATTGATTAAAATAAATATTGATAAAATAGATGTTGTAGAAATTTGTAAGTTGGTTTAGAGAGTTATTTTTTGGAAAAGAGTTAGAGATTGCATTAGTAGGATTATAAAATGCAGGTAAAACAACTCTAGTTAATACTATGGCTACTGGAAAGTTTGAAGAAGACACCATTCCAACAATAGGGTTTAATTTTAGATCAGTAAAGAAAGGAAAAGTGTAAATGAAGATGTGGGATGTTGGAGGATAAGCAAGGTTTCGAGAATAATGGGAAAAATATTGCAGATCAGCAGATGTAATCATATTTGTTGTTGATGCATAAGATTAAGGAAACTTAGATATAGCTAGGTAATAACTTAATTAGTTAATATCTTGGCCTAGTTTAGAAGGAATTCCTTTATTAGTATTAGGAAATAAATATGATCTATAAGGATGGTAACATTTATTTCTAACTTTCTAGTATTACAGAATAAGAACTTATAATATAAATGAACTTAAATTCAATAAAAGATAGATTGGTTGCATGCTATAGTATTTCAGCAAAAAAAAATACAAATATTGATGAAATGTTGAAATGGTTGTCCAAAATCTAAAGAAAAAATAAATGATAATAATATTTATTAATTAAAATTCCTTATTTGATTGATGATTAGAATTATTACTGTTTAAAATAAAAAATGGTTAATATAAATCAATAAGTCTAATATATATATTTTTTATGAAGAGTTACTTACATATACATTAAAAATCGTAAATATTAATTAAATATATATAATAATAAACAATGTGTAAAATATATACTACATAAGATCTAATGTTTATGTAAAAAACATGTAAATAAACAAAATCTTAATTATATTATATTCACATTATAATAATTATGCTATTAATATTATTCTCTTTAGTTTTTGCTAAAAGAATTAATGGACCAGTACATAAAAAGCTTTTTGAACAGATTTCTGATACAAATTATGTACATAATATTGATTCCACATTATTACTATAATATAATAGGTAATTGATGTTAATTATATTTTAAGTTATCCTGGAGTGTATAGTATGGAATTAGGTGAAGTTTTAGATGGAGAATATAGACCAATAAAAGAGAATGTTACACTTGATCCATTCACTTTACCAGGATGCTATTAATATCAAAGAAGATTAATACATAAACATTTAGCTGATCAATAGATTGAGTCAGATGAATAAACATTCACTGATATGTATATTGATGGTGATGTTGTTTTTGTAACAAGAAGTGATAATGCACTTTTAAAATTTGAAATCATACTTGATTTAGAAAATAGAAAAATTATAGGTTTAGAATTTAAAGAAAAATATGAAAATGGAGGAATAAGTTAATAGCATTAACTTTTTTGTTATAATAAAGTTTGCATAATTTTAGGAGAAGAAGGATAAAACTTTATTTATAAAGACAATAAAACATCTTCAATTAATTTAACTTCCATTATTGGCGAATTTAGAGAGTTTCCAAAAGATGTTTATTTTGATGAGAAATCTAAAATAATATATATTTGTTATGAAAACTCAATTGTGGATGTGTTACAATTCACTAATGATAAGACAATTGAAAAAGTTAAAACTATAATAGCTGGAGAGAAAATAGTTTAAATTAGAACTAATCCTGAAAGTACCATTCTTTACCTACTTGATTAATAAGTGGGATTACTTTCTTATTAAATTGTTTCTCTTTTAGAATATAAATAAACTTCATTTTAAATAATCTTAAAGAATTGCATGGCTTTTGATTTTTATTAAAACACCTTCTTTATTGTTGCTGAAACTTAGGATGGCATTCCTTATGCTTTAGAGGTTTTTTCATAAGAGGATACTTATTATTTCAATAAAATTTATTCAAAAGACATGGATATTTATGATGTATGGGTTGGAGAACATTTTGCAATTCTAATAGGAGCTGAAATACATAGAGTCATTTATCATTCTATTTATAATAAATTTATTGAATAAACTGAAATTCCTTTATTCTTTTAAGATATTAATCTAGTTAATGTGGAAGAGTATAGAAAGTGGGATAATACTTCTTATAATGATTAAGCTATTGAATAAGAACCTTTTTAAAAAATTCCTTTATTTTATAAATAATCTTTCATGGTAGGAATTTCAAACAATTAAATTTCATTATTTTCCATTAAATCATTATTACCTTGGGTTTAATGTAAACCAACAACTACAAATAATACATAATATAGTTTAAAAATGAATTCAACATCTTGTTTATCTAAGTAAAGAGAAAATGATCATACAGCATTTAAATAGTGTATTATTTTACATAATTTTACAATTACAGGTAAGGAAATCTACATTTATGAAGAGGATCAATAAAAAGTAATAATATTTGGAAGCATTTTGATGTATAAATATATATAATCATTTTTTTAGTGGAACAATCATAATATTGATTTTGTTTGTTGTGGGTGTAATTCTATATGGCAATTACAAGATTAATCAATACAATCCCATTTAACCGGATGAGTAAGAACTTTAAAATGTTCAAGTAGGAAATCCTGAAAGTTGATAATTTTTAAATATGTTTTTTAAATTAATGGGTAATTTATGAACAATAATAATTTAAATACTTTATTGTATTGCTTTTTTGTCAATATTTAAAATTTAAGTATTATTTACTAACTAGTATTAGTAATTTACAAATAATTATAAATAGACATTTACAAAATAAAATTAGTAGCATATAAATAGATTTTATGTAATTTAACATAAATAATTTAAGTAGTAGAACATTGGAAAGTAAACGTGAGAGTGGATTATTGAAAAAATATATATTTAAAAGAATAAAAAAATGAGAATATAATATTATGTTATATTTTAAATTACATAAAAGCAATTATTTAAACTAGTTGACTAAATATATTTAATCAATAAAATTCTTATAAATCAAAATAAAGATCGTTAAATTTATGTAAATTAATATTATTAACAATTGGGTTACAAATATATATAATTATAATCATTAAAAATTATCAGTATTATAATAGAATAAAGTATAAAAACAATAAGCAAACGAAAATTAAAAATTAAAAATTAAATGATAAACTGAAGATAAGGAAACTTAATTTAATATACTAATTAGGAGACATACTATTATTTTAGAAATTAATTATTATGGAAATTGCCTTTTAATTCGGTTTGAGTATTTAATAATAATAATAATAAATTATCATCTTGTTCATAAAAATTTATATTGTGTTCATTTTATATCTAAAATCAAAATTCAAGGAATAAAACATGAATACTATTGTAAATGATTTAATTTTAATTAAAAAATTCATAAGAGTACACTCATTTATTTAGTAATCTATCTTCAAATAAAATTTAAGTAGAATGAGGTTTAGTGTAAAATTGATTTGATATTTGGCTATTTACACTTTTAGTAAATCAATTATAAAAAAAGCAAAAGAAACAAAATATATGTTCAATTGGAATTAAGTTGCTATGTTTTTTTTCTATATTATGTTAAGGATTTGTACACAAATGTTCTTCTAAATAATAGATATCATTATTTACTAAAAAGATGTATAATAATAAACAATATCTACGAACTAGCATTGTAATTTAATATCATAGAAATTATGATAATGATAAAACATTGTGGAAAGGAGACTTTTTAGAATTAATTTATATATATATATAATAAAATGAATTAAAACATAAATTTATTTATTTTCAGAATATTTTTTTTACCTTAAAATTATTTCGAGTATGTCTATGCCAACATGAAGGCAACTATTTATAATTATATATTTACTTTATAAATCATAAACCTATGTAATTTCACATGATTAATTTTATGATTATAAAAAATCAAAACCTAATCGATAGGGTTATCGATGTTTTACGTTACGATCAAGAAGATAGAAGACCTTTACAAAGTAATTTAATTGATTATAAAAGTATTCTTACAAAAACATGATTTGCTTAGTTAACATATAGGACTGTTAATGCCAAATTTAAAACTTATCTATTTTGATTTAGTCGGTCAGAATGTAGACTGTGAAAAACGAGTTTATTTATTTCTGAAAGGAAAAGTGAGTATTGATGGTATTCTAATTTTAGAAAGCTGTTAAATCCTAAAACCTACTATAATGCGTATTGTTTATCTTTATAAAGTAACTTTTAGCAGAACTCTTTATAATCAGATTGTTTAAATGAATAGATAAAAGGAAATTGAAGCCAAATTAACCTTTTTAATTCAATTCTCATTTTTTTCTGGAATTTACTTGAGTTCTATCTATGCCATTCTTGATCAAATTCCACTAAAAACATTTCAATATAAAACAAATCTCAGTCATGTTTTACCAGGAATTATATGCATTATAAAATCAGGGTATCAACTCCTTATCAAACTAGATCAGTTGTACTCCAGTCTAGTTAGGGACCATTTCACAAATAATTGTATCAATTTTTAAATGATTGTAGTTTAATAATAACAGAAAAAGATCTATTTGGAGAGTCACATTTTGTGGATGAAGATAGTAAAATTAATTTGAAAAAGTAAAACATAAATCAAAAATACTATGAAGCTATTTGTAATTCTTAAGTTGTAGAATTATATTTATTAAATGTATCTGAATTAATTCATACAATAAATTCATAATAATTGAGAGTAAATAATAAATTCATATTTAGTTGTTCTTATAAAAAAAATTTAGACAAAGAATAATGTAATTAAGATAGAGTGTAGAATAAAATTAATCTTTCTCGAAACCTTTATAATAATAATAATAATAATAATAATAATAATAATAATAATAACAATCTTAATAAAGATTAAGAACAAATACTTAAACTTCTGATTCATAATATGAACATTTAAAATAAAAAGAGACAGCAGCAATAGATAAAGTAAGAGAAGTTGTAAAAAATATGAATTTTTCGTATTCAAGGACTAGAAATTATTTTGCTTCAAAATTAGGAGCTGGAAATATTCTATTTCATAAAGCTTTCATGTATTAATATACTCCTCATTATACTAAAAAATAAAGATAATCATCATTTTCTACTGCAATAAAATAGAAATTAAGTTAAAGAACAGAGAGATGCAAAACCATGTCTAATATAGAAATGAGAACAACAATGTTATAGAATTCTTTTGGCAAATATTAATTTGAATAAAAAGAAAAATAGTCCAAACACAATATATTTGATTGATAAAAGTTGCTTATAATGTTTATGTTGAAATAATTAAAAATATAATTATAATTTTCATTTAGCTTTTTGTAGAAATTAATCTACAGTTTCTATACCAGATTAAGATTATATGAATGAATTTTATTCTTATTACTTTTTATTTTTTATTTATGGCAATGGTGGCTTAGTAGTTTATTGTGTTTAATTTTCAGGTGATTCTGATATTGATTTTCTTTTATCTTCAATTTTTACTGTCTTTTTTTCAACTGTTTAATTTCTTGTTCTTTTAAGATTTGATTTCTTTTAAATTTCTTCTGTTTTTGTTTTTGTTTTCATTGAAAGTATTGGTTATTCTATTACATCTGTTTTCAAATTCACACTTTAATTAGTTTAATTAGTTTTTAATTAAAACTCATTTTTTACTTTAACTTAATCAATTGATTTGTTTTAGGCATAATGCATTTGATATCTTGAAGATAAATCTGTTTATATTTTTTAAGGATAATTAGGAATAAAGTGATTATTTTAATTGGAATATTTAACTAATAAGTCTTATTATTTTTGCCATTCTTCAACTTTTCGAAATGATTATTATTTAAGATGATATTATTGATCTTAATTTATAGGTCTAGAAGGAAACGTTTCTTAATGATTATTTAGATTACTATTTTAATTATTTCTAGAATTATTGCCACTTTATTTGAAAATTGTAAAAGAATTTTGGGTATAATTGTTCACAAATCTTGTGAATATTAATCATATATAATACTAGATATCTTATTTGACCATCATTTGATATATTTCGATTGGATTCATGATTAATCTTAATAATTAAAATAATTATAATTGATCAGATTTTCCAGTTATTTTACTTTCCCCATTTTTTTATGATTGTTATGATATATTCAACTTAAGGATTCTCCCCTAAAGTTGTTAATAAGTTCATAACTTCAAGTAATTAATCTAAGGTTGCTTTGGATGCTATAACCATTTAAAATACTCCAACAACAGATCCTTTTAAAGCATCCTCATATTCATTATCTGAATCTAATCTTGCTAATATATCGAATGCTCTTGCAGCATAATAAAAATGGCCCATTTTATAACAATCATTAGCAATAAGTTGTAAAATTTAGAATGATTCTGAAGATGGATCCATATTCAAATATAATTCCCAAGCCTCTCTATAAGATGATAAAATTAATATACTTAGGTTTTCCATTCATAATGAAAGTTCTTGTCATCCATTTTAAATAACAATCATCAGACTATTTATTTTATAATCAATACTTTATATTTCTCAGCTTATATTGCAATTAGAGATTCTTCAGCTTCTTTATAATCTCCAACACCAGCACATGAAATTCCATAATTCCAATTAAAATCATCATCATTTGAGAAATAATTCTTAATTGATTTTAAATAAACTAAAACATCCTCAAATTATTTGCATAAAAAGAAACATTAAGACATACACTATCTTCCTGGAATTGTATCACATTCACTAGCAGATGATCCTACCAATTAAAATAGTTATTAAGCAGTTTTTAATGCCTCTTTTGATTCTGAATTTGATTGTCCTTTCATAGCATATACAATTGCTTTTAGTATGTATTCTTTAGGTGAAGTAGGCTAAAGATCTTTCACTAAATTATAAGCTTCTTAGACTTCATCGTTTTTTAAATAATAAATAATTAGATTTAATTTGGCTTCTGGAAAGATTTCAACTAAAGGAGGCAATGTTTACAGAGCATTTTCACCTCCTCTCATAACTACTAAATTATGTCTTAATAAATCGTTATCAGCAAATACGTTTCCTCCTTCATAAGCTTATTAAAGAGGTTTCATAATCTCTTCTGATGCCTTTCCACTATATAAGGAAAATTAATTGCATGCTTTCAAATTAACAGCAGTAACACTTGTTGGATATTGATTTAAATATGACTGTAAGATTTCAATTGAGACATCAAAATATTCCATTTTATAATAACACAAAGCCACATAAACATTAATAGCTGTATATTCTCTATTCTCTAAAAGTAATTTTTTGTATGCATCTGTTGCCTATATATTTTAATTTAAATTATATACTTCTTCATAATGTCCTCTTAAATAATGTATAGCAGCTAGGCATAATTAATCATGAACATTTTCAGAAATCTTATGATGATAAGTCATTAGATTTTTCTCATCATTTTTTTTATGTGCAATATGAAATTATCTTTATATCTCAAAATTTATACAATCTGACAGCCAAAGGAGTTTCAGGTCCTTTTGAGCATTCTCTTTTTGAATCCTCATATTAGCAAAGTGCATAATAACAACATGCTTTATACACATGAATCTCCTTATTATAATCTGGTTTGCTCATCATCTAATCATAAACTTAAATTGCTTTCCTTTTTGATTTACTAATATAATTCTTACTTGTAATCACCATTATGAAAGTAAGCATATGCAAGCCATAACTTAGGTTCAGCACGTGAATCATTAAAACTTATTTTTCTTAATAAATAATTACTTTTATTCATTCTCCAATAGAGCAACTGCTCCAACCCAATCTCTATTTTTTACATAATCTTCAAGTGTTGGCATTTTTTATTCAACTACTTTTACACCTAATCCTCCTCCTACTGGAGCAGAAACTTTTGTTTGTTTAGCTTTACTCATAGATGAACCTGGTCGTATCATGATCTTCTTTAATAATTAATTTAAATATATTTATTCTCTATTTCAGTCAATTAATTTACCATATTCAATATATATATTTCAATTATTATTATTTACACACTCAAATAGAATTCATCATATATAACATTGAATTAATTTGTTCCTTATCTCAATTACTAAAAATTTAAGTTTAATTAAAAATAATATGAAAAAGCTATATTAATCCTTTGAAAGTGAAGCTTAAAACTTTTAGAATACATTAATACATTATTAAGAAAAATTGTAAGGAAAATTTTAGAATATGCTGTAGAAATCAGAAGTGAAAAAATAAAGAATTATCGAGAAATTATAATCTACTAAAAAACAATTATAGATAAGTATTGAAGCAAACAATCCAAACAAAATCTTGAAGCTTCAAAATAAAATAGATAAATTAGAAATAGACATGTAGAAAATCAATCGAAAAGATTAAATTGCTAATGATTATCATCTAGTGTACGATGGATTATTTAATTAACTCTAAATTACTCAAAATCAAAATATTGAAACATTATCATAAGCTTAAAGAAATGATAATTATAAAATATTATGTTCAATCAAAAGATAAGCAGTGAATTTATCAAACTAAGTTTATAAAAAGAAACATATTGATTCTATTCGACAAATATGTAATCATTGTAATAATGTAAATTTATTATTCATTAGTTTTAGCTATTAAATGAATATCTTAAACTTGGTGTTGATTAATAAATTTAATAAGATGATATATTTTAAATTGACATTGTAGAAAATTAAAAATTTATAGAAAAAAAAAAGTTAGAAGAATAAAAAATGCTAGTAAAATAAGAGAAAGTTTAATAATATTATGATGAAAAAGATCAATAAAAGTAAGATAAAAAAAATAAAATAAAGAACAAATATAAAACCTATGAGTATTATGATAAACAATAAAAAAAAGAATAACATAATAATGATTTTAGAAAAATATAATAATAGAAGTTTAATCATTAAAAATAAATATTACTATAAGATCAATATGATATTGATGTGATTTAATAACTCGATAATTTATAAATTAAAGATTAAAATAAACAAAGTGAAGACATTAAATAATAAAACAATTTTTAAAATGATGTAACAGCTATGGAAGACTCTAAACTATGCTAGATTTGTTTTGAATTTCCTAAAGAATATGTAGCTACTCCATGTGGACATTTTGTTTATTGTAAAAATTGCAAAAACTTAGCATTGAAAGAATGTTTAATTTGTAGAGAACCTGTATAATTGTTGATCAAGGTTTTTTAATGATAAAATTTTAAATTCATCTATTTCATTGTTTTATTGAACTGAAATTTTATAAATGAGGAAGTTTAGTTTTTGCCTCAATCTTAGTATCTTTCATTTTAAGAAATCTTCTTTTATATTTCTTTTGAATAAAACCAAGTTTTTCATAAAATCTTTTGAGGTGAGGACAATTATCTCCACATTTTGCATGTACTTATTTCATTTTAACCATATAATCTCTAAACTCCTCTTATGAAATATTTTCATTTCCTTTATATGATAATATTTTATACCTTGTTTTCCTAAAGCATTTCTAACTTGTCTAATTAATTCTCCCATTCCTCCAGATTTATTATTAACCATTTTATTATATAATTTATCAGCTTGATCTTATTCAGGTTCTTCGTCATCCAAAGTATCTAGTGACTTTTATGATTCAGCAGAGGCTGGTCTTTATTATTAATTTGGAATTTCTTCTTGAACCTCTTACTATTAATTAAATTATTATTAAGTTTATTGAAGCTTCTATTATTTATTAGTTTTAATTTGTTATTTTAATGAAACCCAATTTTTAATCTATTCAATCTTAGTCTTATCTAAACCTAATTCATATAAATATTATAGGACTTAATCCATTGACATTTTACCATCATTATATGTACCATCTGTTTATGTAGCTTTTTAATCAGTGCCTAATTTAGTAATTTTAGTTGTTCTTGTTCCATCTGATGCAATAGTAGTTTCTTCAACAATTAAATTACCATTTTTATCTGCTCTAACTCTTTTAACACTTTTTTCAATCTTTCCATCAACTCCAACTTTTGTTTCTTCAATAAATTCTTCTCCATTCTTGTTTCTCTTTTTCTTTACAATAATTTTATTTCCTTATGCATCAACGGTTTCTATTTCTGTGATTACATTTCCATCTTTATCAACTGTAGTTTTTACAACTGTTTTCGAACCATCAGCATTTGTCGTAACAGTTTCTGTAATTTCAGCACCATCTTTACCTTTAGTCACTTTAGTTTTTACTATTTTCTTATTTCCTTATTCATCTACTATAACTTCTTCTTTTACTTCTACTCCTCCTTCTCTATAGATCTTTCTTTATACATTTAACTTTTATCCATTCTCATAAACAACTTCATTTTCAATTACATTTCCTTCTGCATCTTATTATACATTCTTCTCTTAATTAACAATAGATCCATCTTTATTTTAAATTTACTTTTGAACAGTTTCTCTTCCAAAAGAGTCCTTAACTGTTTTAATTACTACTTTTTAACCTGTTTTTGCATCAATTCTTTCCTCTTCAGTAACTATATTGCCTTTTGCATCTCTATAAACTTTTTTCTTTACAACAGTTATATTTCCATTAGCATCAACAATCTCTTCTTCAATTGTTTCAGTACCATCTTAATTCTTAACCTTTCTTTATATTGTAACGGATCCATCTGCATTTTAAATTTCCACTTCTTCAACCCCATCCTTAATTCTTGTTTTCTTTATTATTTTGTTTCCTTGAGCATCAAAAGCCACTTCTTCAACTACAGTTATACCATTTTCTTAATATATTTTTTATTCTTTTGTTGCTATCTTTCCATTTTTATCAATTATTTATTACTCTATGATATCTTAACCATATTCATTCTTTCTCTTTGTTGTAATAACCTTATTTCCTTTCGCATCTATTCTTTCTTCAACTACAACCTCATTTCCATCACTATCAATATAAACTTTTCTTTTGACCTTTGTCTTATTTCCTTTTTCATCAATTATCTCTTCTTCAATAATATCATTTCCATCTGCATCTTTATAAGCTTTTTATCTTTTTGTGATTTTATTACCTTTCTCATCCACAGTCACTTCTTCTACTACATCTACTCCATCTTTATCCTTTATAGTTCTCTTTGCAACCTTTAATTTCTTACCATCTGGCATAACATATTCTTCTTCAACATATTCAACTCCATTCTTATCTTTCTTTATTCTCACTTACTTTATTCTTTTTTACTTTTATCCATTTTCATCAATATATTCTTCTTCAACTTCAAATCTCTCTTCATCTGCTTCATTTCCTTATAATTTTCTAACCTTTTTTCCTGTCTTATCTTCAAACCATTCTCCTTGTTTTATTTCCTTTCCATCTTTAGCTACAGGTTTAGAAGGTAAATTTATTTTGGATCCTCCAATCGCAAATCCACCATGAGCCTCTAAAAAATCTTAGGTTTATTTTGATTATTAAATTTGATTTGGCTTATCTCTTTTTCTTAACTCTTCTCCTTATGCATTTACAACAACCTCTTCTTCTACTTCCATTTCTTCCTCTACCCATTCTCCATCACTTTTTTATCTTCTTACCATCTTCTTAACTTTTCTTACAATTATTTTTTCATCTGGATTTAAAAATTCTGGATCAAATAGGGCATCATAAAATGGTACTTTAGCTAATTTTTATTTTCTTGTCATTTCATCTTTTTTTACTCCTCTTGTTATAGCTCCAATATCAGCTCCGCAAATTTATTTAAATATTGGATCTCTTAATAAATCATCCACTGCCATTAATTCCTTCATCTCTTATACATTTAACTTTTCATTCAAGTTTACTTTAAACAAATTCTCTGCTTAACCCAATATAGCCTTCTTTTGTTCATCACTTAAATTTGGATTATTTGTTATAAATATTTTGAATCTTTCAAAATTTCTATTCATTTCTTTTTCTAATGCAGCAATATTATCCAATAGGGCCTTGATTCTAAGTTTCATTTTGATATTATCCTCCACCAATCTTTTTATTTTTTCAGAATCATTTTTATTTAACACAGCTTATTATTCTTATTATTATTTATCCTTTGCTTTCTTTTCTTCTTATTGTTTTTCTTCTAATTTCTTTTTCTCTAAAGTAACTTTTTATAATTAACCATTAAGAACCCCTACTTATTGAGCATAGGCATCTCTCTCTATAAGAGTATCTTTTATTCGTTTCTCCAATTATATCATTTTCTATTGTACATCATGATTTTCTTTTCTTTATTTGTCAAGCTTATCTTAATATTCTTACTCTATTTTTGTTTTATCTGTCTGAATAGACATTTCTTGCATGTATACCAAAACACCATTTTTCATAATAGCTTTACCAGCCTTTATATCAGCTAAAGCTTTTTCCTGAGCCTATTTCTACATTCCTTAAATTCCTTCAACAAAAGCTCCTTCCAAACTTTTCAATTAATTTTACTGTTGTTTTTATAATTCTTCAAAATTTTAAAATGCCTCATCTTCAGCATCATTTACTTCATGTTTTTTTTTTCCTAAATCCTTTAAAACTTCCTTCAAATTAGTTTCGGCCTTTGATTCTCCTACTGCTTATAAATCTATTTTCCTATTCTTCAAAAACTCAGTAATTTATTAAGAGTCTTAATCCAATTCTTCTTACATTCCTTTAAGTTCCATTTCCTTTTTCAATAGATTTGCCTAATTTCTTGCATCTTTAATATCATCTCCTGTATCAGTTCCCTTATCAGCATATGTCTTTCTTACAGTTTTCTAAAATACTTAAGTTCCTTACTTTAACTATGGGTTATAATTACACCATTTGATTTGCTAACTTATTTGTCTCTTAACTCTATTGGGCAGATTAATCTACTGATCTGATCATTAAATAAAATAAATTACTTTCTTCTAGGTTAACCGATATTTTTTTATAAAGTCTCTAACATCTTATCTGCTTAAACTTCAAAATTTGTATTCAATCTATTATTTTCTTTAATATGTTACTTTAAGATGTAATTTAAAATCATATTCTAACCATTATAAATTTTATTCAGAGATTATCTTAATTCTGATAACTTAGCGCTTTCAAGCATCTCTGATATTTCATATAAAACAATCTAATATATTTCGTGGGTAGTTTTCATGATTTCCACTAATTTAGGTTTTGTAATCTCTTTTTATTTCTTTTTAAAATCATTATCAATTTTTGATAATAGTTTATCTAGTTTGGCTATTTTTACTAAGTCTAATTCTCCATATTCTCTTCCAGCTCCAGTTGGATTGTCTATTTAAGAATATCTATAATCAGTTGCCATTTTTTTTATAAATAATTTACAAAATACATCAATATTCTAAAATTATAATAGGAATAATTAATTACAAGTAGAAAACGATAAATCCCTTTTACTTAATAATTAATATAACAATTAAAAGATGCTTGTAATTTTCTTTGGACAAACATAAAATATTAATATAACTCATAATATCCTATAGAATTTTTATATTTATATTTAACTAATCATATTTTTCTATGTTAATCTATTTTTTCTCCCCATCTTTTCTCTAATCTTTCCAAATTTTAAAGAGTTTCATCGTATTTTCTCTTTAAAATTGAATATTCTTCAATCTTTTCTTAATATTCTCTTTGTTTTCTATTGAGCTCATTATTCAGTGAATTAATCTTTTAAGTTAAGGCTAAGTTTTCTCTTTATAAACTTTCTAATTAAGATTACAAATCCTATTATCTAAACATAGATCCTTAATTTTAAATAATTATAATTACTTCTACTATCCTCAACAACATTCTTCTTTTATAATTACTCCTTTCTTGCTTCTTCTAATCCCTAATGTAATTATTCAGTTTCTTCCTTTCTTTTTTTTAGCAAATCCATTAAATGAATTTATTCTTGTTTGGCCTAAGATAATTCATTTTTTTAACTATTAATAGTTGCTTACAATTAAGTAATTAACATATTATTCTTTAGCATTTCTTCTTACATATTGTAATTTACACTTCTGATTTTTTCCATTTCCATTTTCAAAGATTCAATAAGATCTGTTTTTTATTACAAATCCTACTAATATTAATATTCTCTTTATTCAAAATCATAATATGATAGTGCATTTCTTTTATCTAAAATCTTCATCTATTATTCCATATTTTATTTTAAATCATTTATTTCATTTTCTTTAACTTCTATTGTTTCCTCTAATTGAATTCTTAAATTTCTTAACTTTCTTTCCAAATCATTAATATTTTCTTATTATACTTTCTTTTAAACTTCATATTAATCTTTAAATGCACTCATCTCTTCAATTAAATCTATAACCTATTTTTCCTTTTCTTTAGTCTTTGAAATTTACATTCCTAAAGCTTCATTTAAATCATTAATTTAATTTTTTGATTCTTGCTTTATTTACCTTAAATTGGCTTCTAAAATTTCAATCTCTTATCTAAATTAGAATTCTTATTATTTATAGTTATCTATTTATTTAAGGAGTTATTATGTTGATATTTGATACTATTAGAGTTATTAACTCTGTTATTCATTTTACCTTTATATTTATTGTAATTTTTCTGAAACCTTTTTATTTTCATTAAGAATTCCATTTGTTTCATTTTTTGATTATTCTAATTATTTCTCACAAGTAATTAATTCCTCTTATATTTTATTTTTTTTTGAATCTAAGGTCTTAAATTCAATTAATAATTTATCATAATCTGATTTTGCAGTAGCTAATTTATCATCTAAACCTTTTTAGACTATTTAATAATTTTAAACTGAAGACTAAAAATCTCTTTCAATTTCTTTCTTTTATTTGTTTGCTTGATTAAGATCTAGTTCCTTTTATTGCAAACTAACTCTCAATTACTCAAGCTAACTCTCTAAATTATAACATAATTATTGAAAATGTTCTTCAGACTCTGCTTTCTCTCTTAATGTTGATTTAACCTTTTCTTCTAATTGATTTATAACAGAATTCTTTTAATCCAATTATCTTGAATCTACTTGATTATGGGCTACTTCAGCTTTCAAATTATCATTCTCAATTTATAATTAAAAAAGTTTCAATTCTAATTATTCATTCTATTTTGATTGTTTCTATACATTATTTACAGATGGTGATCTTAAAATAGAAGGGGATTTAGTCATATCTCTTTAATAAAAACTTTTTTCTTGGACTGCTTGTTTGTATTTAAAATCAAGTTATTCATATTCATTTTATAAATTTTGATATTTTGTTCTCAATTCTCTAACTTATTCATCTTGAGAAAATAATTATCTACAAACCATATTTTCTGTTTTAGTTTTTTCTGCTTTCTATAATTAAAGTTTTAAGTCTTCATTTTCTTTTTAATTTTGTTACAGACATTCTAAAACTCTATTAAATTCTTATTAAGAATAATAGGATCTTTGATCATCTTCTTTTTTCTTTTTTTCATCTTCGACACCTTTCTATTCATATTCTATCAATTTTTTATTGAGCTTTAATATTATCAAAAATATACTTTTTAATTTTCTTAGACCAAAGATGCCATTTTAGTTTGAAGTTATTCTAAAATACCTTTCAATTTATTATAATCTTCTGTTAAAGTATTGATTTTTTATTCATTTTCATAATTACTCTAATTAGAAGTAGTAGATTATTATGATTGAGTATCAGACAAAGCTATTTCTTCTAATTTTCTAAAATTAGATAACACATCAATCATTTTATCATTTAATGCATCAGGAAGTTGGCTTGCTCCCATTTATTTTTAAACTGCAGAGATCAATTCTCTCAATGAACTTGATATTTTATTAATTTCAGTTTATAGTTTTGTTTTTGATGAAAGTGTAATTGGCATATTAGTTTGTTTCTATTATTGAATATTATTAGAAGAATAATTTGAATAACCTTATTAATTGTTGACTTCTTAAATTGGTGATCTACATAAGAAATCTAATCCAATTTTGATATTTTCTTTAGATTCTAAGAATGGATTTTATTCTTATTTAGTTTGATTTCGTTTTTCTGTGTTAGAATTCAAATCTCTATTTTCTTTATTAGACTCAAAATTATATGTTTTTGCAAAATCATATTTTCCAAGATCATATTAATTCATTTAAGAAAATAATTATTTGGTTGTATCATAGGGTTTGTAATCACCATATTGATTTTAATTTTTATTTTCAACATATGGTGGTTTATAATCTAAAGTTTTTTATTTGTAATGATATGAATCAAGTAATCTCTTAGGTGATGAAGGTTAAATAGGAAGATTTGCTATTTATATTTTTAAATAAATTACGTGAAGTCAAGACTTACTTATTTGCTTCATATGTTGGAGATTACATATATGGGGAAGTCATATATGTTTGAACTCTAGCTTGTGATTAAGTTTTTGTTCCATAAACTAGTTACCTATCTGGTGAATTGACCATCATTGGTGTATATTCCTTTGATACAGAACACGGTCTAGCCATGGTGACTGTTGTTTGTTGTTTAGGAAGAGGCTTCATTTTCTATATTTTTCTGTTAATTAATTTAAATTTAAACAATTAAACCTATTTTTTATAGATTATTAATGAAATTTCAGAACATAGTCTAAGGATTATTTAATATGATTTTTGCAGCTGAATTGAATATCTTTTAATCTTTAAAATTATTTCTGATTTTCTTGATGGGATCATGCTCTTAATCAAAAGGATCACTCATTGAATATTTTTCTCCTTCCTCTTTTAATTTTTTCTCATTGATCGAAATCTTATATTACTGTGTAAATCCTTCCCCTTAATCTGAATAATATTCAAAAAAATCCTTTAATAATATCGTTAGGGGAACCTAAGAGATAACTTTGTCAAATTAATCCTTCAGTTATTTATATTTTTCTCCATTATATACCTTAAATAAATTGAAATATTTTACAAAAAAGACATCAACTTCAAAGCTGCTTTCCTTTTTACCTTCTATATTTCTTTTAATCATTAATTTTGTCTATTATTATTTAGAGCTTTTATATTATTTATCCTAAAGATTGGGCATTTGATACTTTTCTTATAAGAAATGTAGCCACATAATTAATATAGCATAAGAAGAAAAACAATTTTTATTTATTATTCCTTACTTCTTGCCCCATAATTTTAATAAAATTCCGCCCTAATATATAATATTAATAAATACTTATTAAACTTTCTCATTTAAGTTTGCATATGCATTCAATAACTTAGTGTTGATTACTCCTAACAGATTGTTAAAGCACATATCTATTTCTATTTCACTAGTTTAATCTTGTATTTTCATTACAGCAATTCTGGCAAATTCTACCAATTCATTAATTTTGAACTTATTTTAATCAACAGATTAGATTTCTTATCTTAAATATCTAAGAGCAATCCTTTCATCAACATAAGAATTAGTGAGAAATGTGAAATCCACATCTGATTCCTTTGTTCCAAATCCATTTAATTATGATCCAAAGATGCAATATTCAATCTCTGTTTTAAATGGATCATAATCAAGTTGTTTCAGGAAATGAACTAAACTTTTTATTGAATTTTAAAATTTTTTCTTTTTCTACTCAGTCATCTCATTTTTCTTCAATACTTCAATAAGTACTTTGTCTTATTCTTTTAATTGCATTAATATAATAAATATTTAATAATTTAATATTTTGATCAAGTCAAGAGGCTTTTTCTACTTCTTATGTATTTTCAATTTTTTCTTAATAGAAATCATGCTATTATTATAAGGCAATTAATTTACTAATAACTAGGCTTCTTTAAAATCCTCTAATTTCAAACCATCTAATTCATGTTATAAGAAAACTTGTAATGCTCTCTAATTTTATTATTGAATGAATGGAATTGAGCAGAAATTTTAACAGGTGCAAATTTTTTTTTTTGTGAATTTGCAATCGACATGAAATATTGGAGAGGTTTATGGTTAGTTTAATTTTATAGCTGTAGCTTTGATTTATGGGCAAAATGGATCTTCATAAGCTTATTGAATGAATTGATGAATCATAATTAATTTAATTAATGAAATTTTTGGAAGTATTAATAATTTAATCTATAAGAATTTATAATTAATTATGATTTAGATAATTTATAAATTAGAGTATTCACTTTATCTTATAAACAGAAACACATATAATTATAATAATTGAATGTTGAAAAATTAATTCGAATGACAATTAAAATAAAATAAATTCTAAGTTTAGAGTTTAATTACAAAAAGTCATAATAATTTAGAGAACAAATTGATGAAATGATGTAAATAGAGTGATTTAAATACATGAATGTTAAATATCAAAATTGATTATTCTTTTGAAATCAAAAATATTAAATACTACTTTAATTATTGTTTGATTTTTGGTTCTTGTTTAAGTTCTGGAAACCCTATATCAAATTATGGAAAATCAGATTCTAGAAATAATTGTTCACATTTGAAGCTCATGTTATAAAATAAAACATGATTTCTGTTGTTAAAGTTTTGATAAACATAACATCTAATCTAAATGATGTAGCATATCCTTTTTTTAGATTCTTTTCTAATGTTTTATTAATAATAAAATAGAAAATTAGGAAATTCATATGGATTCATTAGTTGATGAGAATTAGTGATTTTAACATCATATAAGATTTTGAGGCTGTCCTCTTTTAAGTTCTAAAAATTACATCAATATTTTATTATATAAATGAATAAATAAAAATTAGCTTAAGAAAAATAATATAGAGACCAAGCAAAATACAGAACCCTGTTCAGTGTAAATAATTTTGATATATTCAGCAAGAGCCTCAAAATCCATTTGGAGAAAAAGATGTTGAAAAAATGAAATAGCAATATGCATAAATATTGAAGGAATAAGTAAAGAATATTATTTATTAATCAGATTTTAGATTCTTAAAGGCACAAGGAATAACAAAAAACTATTGATAGATAAGAAACGCAAAAGTAAATTTAATATGAAAGTCCCTTTGGAAAGTATAATATGAATTTATCCTAGAGATCGATTAATCCATCTGTAAAAACTCAATAGAGAACTTCTAAAACCAATTTAGGACATTGATGAATTCGTTAAGAAAAAGAACTAAACTGATATTTCAAGACCAAAAACTATATTAAAGAATTAATCAACCGAAAGAAGTAATTAACAATACTCAAATGATAACTCCGTAGAATAAGTACCTTAATATAATTTTGACTCTCCCAATTAATAAGAAAATAAGGAATATTGGTAAAATAGAAATTAAAATTAAATCCTTCCCACATAATAAACTTAAAGAATTAGAGATTATTAATCTTCCTAATCTCTTGGTTTACCAGAGCCAATTTTATAAAATAATAGTAATTTATTAATGAAAAACAGCAAAAATATAAATTTTCCTATTCAATTGCCTCCAAAAACACCTGGAATAGTTTATGATAAACAGAATAATCCTATATTATCAGATTATGTGAGCATTTATGATTAGTAATTTAGTAGATTGCATAAATCTGAAAAAAGTGACTTTATGAAAGAATTAAACCAACTTAGATCTTAGTTTTTTGTTTAATAAAAGCCTCAAGTTTAGCCTTTTAAATAAATGGCTAATTTATAATAGTCACCTCCGAAGTTTACTTAAGATGTTGGAATTCAGGATGATTAATATAGGTAGGAATTGATGGAAAGAGAAAGGTAAGAAGAATAAATAAGATAATAAGAATATTTGCGTTAACTAGAAGAACAGAAGAAAAGGGAATAAGAAGAATATGAGAAATAGCTAAGAGAAAAGATAGAAAGAGAATTAGAAGAGCAAAGAAGACTAAAATAATAGGAAATTGAAATTCAAACTGAAAAATTAGTGACTGATACAGGAATTTAACATGTTGATTAAAATGCAGTTACAGCAGCTGAATATATGAAGACTTTAAAATCACTTTCAGGAAGTGTTATTGATATGAAAAATTAATTTATTTAAGGGCAACAAAAATTAAATTATGAGCTAATTCAACTGAGAGATAAGGCACAAAGAGATATTGAAGAGAAATTAAGAATTTAGAAAGAATTAAAAGAATTAGAATAGAGAAATTAAGCAATGAAAGTTTGGGAGGGTGAAAAATAAAGATAATTAATGTAGGCTTTAGAAAAAAATGCTCCAATTCCTCAATATAAATCAGCTTATATGGATCCTAAATAAATTAACCCAACTGTTAAAAAAGTCATAAGATTTAAAGATTAAACTTAAGGATATGAATACGAAGAACCTAATGGAGTAATGTCAAAATCAAATCTTATGCCGTTAAATGGAGGATACGATTAAAAACACTTGCATAATTTAAAGGCTAATGAACCTGTTCTTCCTGAAGAATTAGAAGTTTTTAGATAGGAAGTTGCCCCTTAATTAAAATATTCAAATCCAATTACTAGGTAAGTTAGAATGGATGATTTAAATGATTAATTTTATGATTATAAATATCAGAGATAGCTCGAACATCCTGGTTAAGATAGAATTGAGAGATCAAAATATGAAACTCAAATTAAAAATGATCCAAACTAGGTATTATTAGAAAATGATAGAAGGCTACATGAACTCAGAATTATAGATCCCAGAGGAGATAATAAATAAATTTAAGAATTGTATGATTATTTATGAATACATCTATTTTTAATTGATAGCTTGGCTATTTAACACTCTACTTTAGATTTCACAAATATATATTTATCAAATATTCACAATAAATTTATTAACTTAATTGAAAAAATTAATAAATAAAAGAAATTGAAATTTTATCATAACAATTAGATTTTGGATTTGTAAGCTATTGTACTTTTATTTTCTACAGATTTCATTTTTTTTCATATTCTATCTGTTATAACCCTATACATTTAATTTCTTTATTTTGACAATTAATGATTATTCTTGATCAGTTTCAAATGTATAAAATAAATTTAGTCTACTCGTTTCAATTGAAGATCAATTTTTCTCTTATCATAATTTCCTTTCTGAAATTTTATTCCATTTAGATTAACATTATGATGTTACAGTTAGCAGGGGAAAATGTGATCAATTTTAATTACTTCTTTTCCTTATATAATATTACAGAAAAATTTTTCTCTTGTGTAAGAAGTTAAATGTTTGACTTGTTTTATTATGGCCTCCTACATTATCTATAGCCTTCTCTCTTGCGAAATTTATTTGGAGCATTTATTTTTGAAAGGGAATCATATCAACATTATAAAGTCGAAGAAGATCATATTATGAGATATTGTGATTAGGGGCGTGGAAGTCTCTCTCTTTGTATTGTTTATCAGAAATCTCTTCTAATGTAATGGAAAATATCTTCTCTTTCCATTTACTAATAAGTTCCATTCGTTTTAAGATGAAGGCTCTTTACTGCTCATCCACTTCATCAGTTTCTTGTTGTAGGGCCATATGGATTTCATGGGATAAAATATCCTGACTTGTTATCTTCAATTAAAATAACACTCTTTACTTCGATAATTTATTGTCTTTCATCATATATATTAGTCTCGATGATAAATTCTCTTTCACTTGAGGAGTCCTCATAAACTCTTCCTCCTTTAATATTCATTACATATTCACTCCAGTTAGTTCTTACTACTCCAATATCCTTTTCTTTGTCTGTATATGCAATAGTTAGAAGTATGTCTTGTTAAGCCATATATAATGTAGGTCGTTATCTTTGTTGATCTTAACATGAATAGACAAATATTGGTTTTAAAAGTTGTTGTAAAAGGTAGTAGGATTCTTTTTAAGGAAAATCACTTGATTTATAAAAAAAAATGTGACATGATAGTGTGTCTTGAAGTAGATGTTGAAATTGCTATAATTTCATTTTCTGTTTAAATCTGACTGCACACACATTCTTGCGATTTCTGATTATTTTAAAAATCTGTTTTTTTTCAAAAATATTAAAGAAATTTATCTATTTACATTTCTCATTAACTTCAATTTTTTAGTTGATTATCAAAGGAGCACGAAGGATCTTATAGTTGCCCATTTGATTTTGTTTTCCTATTAGATGTTGCATTTGATCATGAGGTCTTCTAGGTATTCTCTTGGTCCGTATTTAGTTTGTCTGTCCATCCAAAAGTTTGCCATTCTTTTGATTATTCCTTTCTATCAGATATTTCATATCCTCTTCTAAGTTTTCCAAATAAGCATTTAAAGAAACGATCTTATGGGTCCTTGGTGTATATGGTCCTCATCTAGTACTGAAAAAAGAGATTTCATTCTTTGGGCTTAGATTTATTATATTAATTTTGATTTCTGTATTTAACAGTTATCCATTATTATAAATGTGAAATTTCTTTATAAAATCTTTAACATTAAATGAGCAGTTGATCAAGAAAAACTGCAAATATTTCTGGATTCAAAATAACTTGAATTATTTAATAATTAATAAATCCACCATCTCCTACAGCTCCGATTACATTTAGTTGATACTTTAGTTCTAATCTTTAAGCCTATTTGCATTTTCCTTTATAGACCATACTGTGGGATTTTTCTATGATTGAACAAAAGTTGTCTCATCGATAAATATCATTAAGTTTTTATTTATTTATAAATAAACCATTTTTTCGAATAATCTAATTAGTCTCTTTTTAATTGCCTTCATCTTAAAAAATCTAACCTTTTTAAACTATCAATAAAGGGATAACTATTTTGTTAACCTATTTTAAGTTAATACCCCTTTTGGAATGTTAATATTTAATAAAAACTATGTGTATATATTTTTTGATGAGCTTACTAAATCAATGTTCTCTAATCTAAAAATTTTCATACCCATTCTTTATGATTAGTTTAAAAAGTATGAAGAAAGAATGATTACTTTAAATTTATTGTTTTAAATATTCTTAAGAATTTAACAATATTCCTAATTCTAAAACAATATCTTTAGATTATAATTTGGCAATAAATATTTTTTTTTCATTCACAAAGTACTTGTACTTTAAAAATTCTTTTGAGATTTGCTAAATTTTTAATAAATTAATATCTCTTAACCAATATTTGTATAAACTTGATACGATCCTGTTTTGAGATTTAAAAAAAACAATTTGACTAATTTTCTGACACTTTAATCTGTAATTTATTACTCCTAATTATTAATTTTAGTTAGATGATGGAACATTTTTTCTTGTTTAACATGAGAGGTAGTTTGTCTGATAATTATTCATGTCCTTTAAGAATTTGTCTTGCATATAGATCTGAATATAGAATAATAGGTCATCTGCATTGAAGCAGTACTTATGAAAAAGTTTCAAATAAATAAAAGCAGTAATTTTAGATTAAATCAAAATTAGACATAGATTTAAGTTTAATGAAACCATTCTTTAGATTGAGATAAATTATCAAATGGTCATTCATTTTAGTTACTTTTTTCTGTGAGATCAGTTCTTTAAATAAAATGCAACCAGTAACATGTTAAACTGAATTTTCACCTATCATTTCTTTGGTGTAAAAAATGTTGTAGGTAAAATTTTAATGCCTTTCTTCTCCTTTCTTTAGTAAAAAGGGTATATTCCTAATCATAATAAGGATTTGATGTAACCCATGCTAAATCTCTGATGGCCTAGCATATTAGAGGATAAATACATGCAATAAACACAAAAAAAAAGTTGAATATTGAATATTTAAAAAAAGGGGGGGGGTGCCATTAACTTTTTCAACTTAGTCTGTTTCTCTCCTGATGGAAATACATTAGCTTTTGGTAGTGAAGATAAGTCTATCCTTCTATTATATCAAAAACAATTATTTTTCAGATTATAGATTTATAGAAATTTAGGTTAAAAATGCAAGATATCCTTTTTTTAACACACTTTTGCAGAAAAATAATATATGCATAATTTAGATACATCTTATAATATGGTTTACCCAAACTTCAATTTTTAATTTTTCAAGGTTAAAGGGAGTTTTTTATTAAAAAACCGTTTCCTTTTAAGAGAATTAACACTTGATTAATTGAAAAACTAACCTATATTAACCCTTAATTTAAATCTATTTTAATATACTTCTTGTGTCCAATATTTGTTGATAGAGTTCTATTTTATAGTTTTTTTTCCTTTTTAACAATCTTGAAGCATTACTAAAATGGAAATTAATTTAGCACATTTTAAAATATTATGAAATAGAACTTTTAGTTGCATGAATGCAATAATATCTTAAATCTTTGTATTCTGTTTTTTTGGTATTATTCTTATCATAACCAAGCATTTTCTCTCAATTTATTTTTAGAATGTGAATAGTACCAGATTTATAAACTAGATTCTACAACTAAATTATTCAGCATTTATCATTTCTAAGTTTTTAAATCTTCTTATTTCTTGAGAGTCATTATATTCTAATATTCACAAAATAATATTTTTCTCAACTGATATTTAATTA